CCTCATGTTTTCCATTGTATTGTTATTGTTCTGTCACATGTTCTGTCCCCCTTTGTAATGTACAGCGCTGAGCGAACTATCGGCGCTTTATAAATACTGTATAATAATAAGAATAATAATGAGCTACCTTACAATTGCCTTAAAAACTAATCCAGGAAAAGCTACACTCTGTGTGTTCCCACATTGAACCAAGTATTTTTGGTGTATATCAGTGTGGTGCAAATTCCTGGAGTGATATAAATCAAATTGGTGATTTTTTTTTGGACACATTATATGATTTGTATACACAATTCTATATTTTGAACAATATAGGAACAACATACAGATCGTATTCATTTACATTCCACACTAGGAATATGTGCCACACTGATATTCACTATAAATAATTGTAGATTTAAATGTTGAACAACTCTGCATTGCACTCCATTGAGCTCATGTGCACCTTTTGCCTTAGCTCTGCAATAGAGAAAACCGTAAAAGCTCTGAAAAGTGAGAGAAGTTCCTTTTCAGACAGTTGTTTTCGAAACAAGAATTTCCCCTCTTAAAACAGGTTCCAATAAAACTCAAAATTTTGGGTTCCTTTTAACTGTACAAAGTGTGTCTAGAAAGGAGAATGATATTTTAAAAATTCTTTTATTGAAAAATCTAACAATTAAAGCTTGTCTACTTCAAAGTATGTTCAAAAAACTCTCTATCAATTCCCAAAAGAAAAGTCACACTTTCACCCTTGAAAGTACAAACACCATAAACCTTTTCTCAAATACCTTTATCCCAACACCCTAATAGTCCTCACTCCAAATAATGTCCTAAAACTGTCTAAAATACATTGTCCAAATATTGCATGAAATATCCAATTCAATGACCCACTCCAGATCCAAAGTACCTCAAAAAATATAAAACTAGATATAGTGTATTACCCTTTTGCATGTAATCACATATCACTGATTAAATATTTGAAGATTTTAAAGGTAATAAACTATATCTAGTTTTATATTTTTTGAGGTACTTTGGATCTGGAGTGGCGAATTGAATTGGACATTTCATGCAATATTTGGACGATGTATTTGACAGTTTTTGGACATTATTTGGAGTGAGGACTATTAGGCTGTTGGGATAAAGGTATTTGAGAAAAGGTTTATGGTACTTCAAAGTATGCACCTTGTCAGTGTACACAACGCTCCCAGCCATTTTTCCATTCTTCAAAGAATCCCTGGAAGTCTTCAAATGGGATGGTGTTCAGAGCCTGCATAGTGGCTCCTTGGACTTTATCCACATAAATGGATTATCCTTCTTGACTTTTATATGTGGAGTTGCTTTTTTGATCCATTATTCTTCACTCATGTCTTTCAAAGTACAATCCACAGAAGTCCTAGGACAATTTGATGAGCTGCCAGGTGACTCCAATATAAAATTCTGAATCTTTCAATTACACAGAGTGATTTACTGTAGCACTCCTCATCACTTGGACAGTTATTGACGTTCTTATTGCTATCTATGTCCTCATTGGTGAGATTACAGCTGGCCATACACTGCTTGAATTTTGGCCACCTCCTGCTAAATTGGTTCAGCCAGCATTGGAAACATGTATGACCAGCTTAATCCTCTCTGTTGGCCTGGTGACCACTGCACCAAGACAGAAGGTGATAGGAAATCCAAAACTTTACAACGGTCACCAGAACAGGAATAGTGTGCAAATATTCCAGTGGGAGCACCTGCTACACTAGCAACTAACTGGGGACCTAACCTCACTTGTAGAGATTTCCTCCTACCTCCTGTTGTATCTCTTGGGCCATAATGAATGGTGTGAGACGGTGAATACAAGCAGTATAGTGTATCTTAGTTGACAGTTAAATGGCCTTTTCAAAACATAGAAAGGCCATAACATTGAAAAGACAACATAGGAAACAATAACATAAATTTATATTGTAAAGCGCTGAGCAAACTGTTGGCGCTGTATAAATCCTGTATAATAATAATAATAATAATAATAATAATAATAATAATAAATGGCCTAAATAACAAAACAGGAAAAAAAACGTGGAAAAAATCCAGACATGGTCAGCTCAATACAGTTTTATCCCCTGCTGATTTTGAATGTTTGCCCACTCACAAAGAAATGATCAGTCTAAAAATCGAATGGTAGGTGTATTGTAACACTGAGAGACAGAATAGCAACAACAAATTCAAAAGAAATGCATGCCTAACAAATGATGCACTGATTTCCCAGTTTATGAGGTAAATAAGTATTTGATCCCCTATCATTCAGCAGGATTTCTGGCTACCAGGTGTCTTTCATACAGGTAACAAGGTGAGATTAGAAACAGTCTCTTAAAGGGAGTGCTGCTAATCTCATTTGTTACCTGTATAAAGGACACCTGTCCACAGGAGCAATCAAACAATCAGATTCCAAACATTCAAAATCAGCAGGGGATCAAATACTTATTTCCTTCGCTGTATAATGAGAATTCTGGGAGAGTCGAGGGTTATAAAGACTCCGGACACAGTTGAAGGTGATGGAGAGTCAGGCTATGTGGACAGATTATTGCAAAATAAGGGCTTGGAAATCTGCAGAATCACTAAAGGCCTGCCAGCAGGTCCACAAAGTTCAGACTTTTTCAGGGTTTGTGCTATCTTCTGCTATTGTCTCCATCACCATGATGTCATTGAGAATCTGGGAGAAATACAGACATGGTCTGCTCAAGATAATGAGAATTCTGGGAGAATCGGGGGTTATAAAGACTCTGGACACCTCAAAGGTGATTGAGAGTCGGGCTATATAAGCAGGTTATTGCAAAATAAGGGCTTGTAAATCTACAGAATCATTAAAGGCCTGCCGGCAGGTCCACATAGTTTGGACTTTTTCAGGGCCTGTGATATGTTCCGTCACCAACGTCTCCATCACCATGATGTCATTGAGAATCTGGGCCCACTCTAGTAGAGAGGGGGGAGAGATACTTTTCAAGGTACAAGTGATGGTGACTCAGGCCACCAACAGGCAGTGGCTCAAGATGCCTTTTAGATATCATTTTAACTGCATAAAGCTAATACATTTAATAATGGTAATAATGGTAGTGCTTTACTTGAGTATATTTAAAGTGATACGAAAGCTAAAAACATTTTGTACTTTAATGCATTCCTTGCAATAAGGTAAAAAATGTTTATTATGTCTCTGCAACCCCCCCTTCCTTGTGTGAAGGGGAAAGAGAGGGGGGAATAGATCCAGCAGTGTGCATGGCTGCATCTATTCTCACCTCTCGTGCTCTTCACACAGCACTCAAGCAGCAGCAGCAGGAGCCATTGACTCCTGCTGCTGTCAATCAAATGCAGTGAGGAGGAAGTGGGGGGCAGGGCTAAGTCCTGCTGTGTAAGTCTATGCAGCGTTTTTCCATACAGCTCAGGAGCGTGCAGACACTGCGTGCCCCCATAGCAAACGGCTTGCTATGGGGACACACGAAGTAGAGGAGGAGCCAAGATCGTTTGCAGGGGACCCAAGAAGAGGAGGATCGGGGGCCACTCTGTACAATACCACTGCACAGAAGAGGTGAGTATAACATGTTTGTTGTTTAAATTAAAGAAAAAAAAAAAGTTTGACTTTAGTAACATTCTACCGATGTTATTTGCTTTCAAAAAATATTCTGCCTTTCTTCTTCTCTAAATTATTGTGATTACAAAAACGTATTTAGGAACTGTGCACTTTGTGAAGAGCAACACTTCCTCAGACCACACCACAGAAACTATAGGAATATATTTATTTTATCAGCTATTCTAAACTCTCAAACACCGTCCAGCTCTAATTCTAGATAAAGACTGTGACCCAAATTCAGTGTGGACCCAGACTACAATCTGGCCACCAGAGCTGTGCCTCATGCCATACAATAGCTTTATGCTATTTTTGTATGTAATTTATTATTTACAGAGCACAGATTTTCATAAAGCAGGCATGCTGCCTTTTCTAGGACAGTGCATGTCTAATGCATGTACAGGGAATTCATCCATAATGGCCTTGCGACTTGCTCATAGTCTCATGAAACATCTTAAAGCTGAACTTCAGGCAAATATAAAAGACAAATATTAATGTAGTTCTATGTTCATTAATAAATTACTAAATGTATTTTTAAAGCAAGCAGTGTCAGTACCAAAATTTGACATATCAGCTTATTGAAATCCACTGTACAGCATAGCTCTGAAAGAGGAAGCAGAACATGGAGCTCATTAGGTGTGCTGCGGTGCAAGAAGCTTGCTGATAGAAGGGAAGAGCAGAGTGGCAGAAAAATGAGCTTATCACTTTGCGGTCACATATAAATAGTGTGTCCAGTGTCCAGGAACAGCAGCGTTTTGGTAGAAAAAACGCTTGACACAGCTAGATGCATCTAAACGCAAGTCACATTTAGTGCTTGAGCATTTTAATTTCAATTTCTAGAATAAATGATCATTCTGGCCAATTAATGCCCAAGCACTTGACGCTTGTAAATGCGCCTAAACACTACCATCAGGCATTTTTTGTCTGCAAAAACGTTGCTGCCCAGAGGACAGCTTCTAGAAGAGTTTTTTTTAACGCCCTGCATGACACCCTTAACACGTGCATGAGACCTAAGCTGAACTTCAGGCAAAAAGTTAAATACACCATTAACCACCTCCCGCCCCCCATATAGTAATATGACGGACGCAAGGTGGTCCTCTCGTTCTGAGAGGACGTCATATGACATCCTCCCATTCTCACCACGCATGTGCGGCTCCCGGAGCGCGGCGATCGGCGTTGCGCTGTGTCCCTCGGACACAGCGGATCACCGATCACGGAAAGAGCCGAAGATGTTAGCTCAGTCATGTGATCAGCTGTGTCCAATCACAGCTGATCACATGCAAACAGGGAAATGCTGGTTATCGGCATTTCTCTCCTCTTGAGCTGTAACGCTGACAGCTCGAGAGGAGAGGAGAGCCAGTAATCAGAATTCCTCAGAGGGGACATGTGCACTGATCATCAGGGCACTGATCAGTGTGCCTTGATGATCAGTGTAGCCCCAGCAGTGCCACCTATTAGTGTCCATCAGTGCCTTGTGTCAGTGCTCATCCATGCCACCTGCCAGTGCCCATCAGTGCCACATCAATGCCACATATCAGTGCCTACCAGTGAACATCAATGCCACATATCAGTGCCCATCTGAGCTGCCTTTCAGTGTCACCCATCAGTGCCAGCCAGTGCCACCTATCAGTGCCACCTATCAGTGCCAGTCAGTGCCACCTATCAGTGCCAGTCAGTAACGCCTGTCAGTGCGCATTAGTGCCAGTCAGTGCCGCCTAACAGTGCCAGTCAGTGCCGCCTAACAGTGCCATATATCAGTGCCATGTATCAGTGCTGCCTTTCAGTGATGCCTGTCAATGCCCATCAGTGCCACCTACCACTGCCTCAACGGTGCCCATCAGTGCCACCTATCAGTGTCCATCAGTTCAGCCTATCAGTGCCCATCAATGCAGCCTAATTAGCGCACATCAGTGAAGGAGAAGAAAAATCACTTACTTACAAAATTTTATAACAAAAACTAAGAAAAAAACATTTTTTTTTTCAAAATGTTCAGTGGTTTTTGGTTTAAGAAAAAATAAAAAACCCGAGGTGATTAAATACCACCAAAAAAAGCTCTATCTGTCTCAAAAAAATTATAAACATTTCATATGAGTACAGTGTTGCATGAACGCGCAATTGTCATTCAAAGTGTGACAGCGCTGGAAGCTAAAAATTGGCCTGGGCAGGAAGGGGTAGAAGTGCCCTGTAGGCGAGGGGTTAAAAACACATTTTTGTTTATGTTATTATGTTTGATCTCCTTTATCTGCCATAGACTCTGTGTTTATGTCCGTCCCTTGCACAGCCCATCCACACAGTATAGCTGGGTTGGGGGCTAAAAGGATACCTTTTCACCTTTAAAAAAAAAATAAAAATAAATGCACATCTTTTTACAGATTAAAAAAATGTGCATTTATTATTTTATTTACTTGGAGCCTTGGAAGCACTGCACTCGTGATCAGCAGATCGCGGATCCCATTCAGGACTCCTGCGGACATGTCAGTGTATCTGTGTGCTCGTACCTTGTAGAAAAGACAAACTGCCTCAGCACCCACTCAACAGCGACCCCTGTAGTTCATTGAGAACTACAAGCCAACAGCCGCAAAGGTTGTAGGTAATTGTAGTTTTCCGTTTGCAGAATTCTGTGAATGAATGACACGGCCGAGTAGACGGAGCCCCGCACAGCCACATTTTATTAAAATAGCAACTCCAGCAGTGGCAACATGTCAGATGTTCCACCAAAAAAGCAGTGTGTATGTGTATATATATAGGGTGTAAGGTGGAAAAAATATATTCTATTCTTAGAATGCCAATGATTCTGAATAAGAGACTCCATGTGGTCAGTGTGCACCTGTAAGATCACAGCTGTTACTGTATGTAGCAAGGACAACTACGGTGACTTCCGCCATCCCTAGAGGGTCCTTGAATATCAGAGACTGAAACTTACATAGAGCCAAGATGGACCAAATGTCAGTTTGCAGAAAAGGTAATTCCTGCAGTTCCACCTTCACTTGTCTCTAGTGCAGTTAAGAAACACTGCAAGGTCACCTCCTATCCACTAACCTGTGAGTGGACAGTGAAGAAGCAGCAAAAAAAATGATGAGCTAATCTCTCTGCTCTCTCCTCCAGTCAACATGTTCCTTGTCCACCCAGGTGTATGCAGCTCACTAGTATGCTCCTTATACTGCCCCTCCATCTTCTTCTTTAGGATATTCTTACATGGGCGCTCAGCCTCATGCAGTGTTCAGAGCCATATACTATTTTTGACCTGTGTGCAGGCAGCCCATTTAAGTGAATAGAGATGCATGGACTGGACTCACCCGTATGACAGGTATGCAGGGACAGGTGCACAAAGCAGTAAAAAAGAAAAGAAACAGCTCTACAGGCTGCACACTACGGTGAATAAGTCCTTACAAGGGCTTAGAGGAGGTTGAAAATAGGTAATATGTACAGTATATATTTACACTAGTTGCACTTAAAATACCTTTTTATTTTTCTGTAGCTCCATAAGTACATTCATTTGTGTTTTTTTTTAATTAATATCTGCCTGGAGTTTAGCTTTACAGACCAACTCCAGCTAATCTATTTTTAATAGAGTAAGATGTTCAAATTTCTGTAAAGTTTTTATTGCTGTGTCCTCATTGTGGAGATTTCCCATTACTTCCTGCTCTGGTGACACCAGGGTAAGAAATGAGACATTTTGGGTGTCACAGGGACAGAAAAAACACAAAGACAACAACCCTGTGCTTTGAATGGGCTGCCTTAAAGCAGCCCACATCAATGCCTGTGTCATGGAATGCGAAAATGTAAAGGGACCCTGAAGAGCACTGTGCAGCACTTGAGAGACTTAGCTTGGTGGTGCGCTTGAAAAAGAGGAGTAAGGAGAAGTTGCAGCCATTGATTTAATGCATGGGGAACAAAAGCAATCAAGACACACGTTCTAAGCTGTCCAATCACTCTTTCTAAAACAGCAACATTTGGGACCAATCAAAGCCATAACATCTGTGTACAACCCACCAGATGTCTATATTGGCCGACTGATGTCCCATACATATACAGTTGAGCTCAAACGTTTGCACACCTTGGCAGAAACTGTGCAATTTTGGCATTGATATTGAAAATATGACTGATCATGCCAAAAAATGCTCTTTTATTGAAGGATGATGATCATATGAAGCCATTTATTATCAAATAGTTGTTTGGATCCTTTTTACATCATAATAACAGAAATCACCCAAATGGCCCGGATCAAAAGTTTCCATCCCCTGGAATGTTTGGCCTTGGTACAGACACACAAGGTGACACACACGGGTTAAAATGCCAATTAGAGGTTAATGTCCCACAGCTGTGGCTTTTTAAATTGCAATTAGTGTCAGTGTATAAATAGTCAATGAGTTTGTTAGCTCTTACATGGAAGCACTCACTAGGCTAGATACTGAGCCATGGGGATCAGAAAAGAACTGTCAAAAGTCCTGCATAACAAGGTAATGGAACTTTATAAAGATGGAAAAGGACATAAAAAGATGTCCAAATCCTTGAATATGCCAGTCATCACTTCCACTAAGAAGTAGAAAATTCAGGGACCTCTTGATACCAAGCCAGGGTCAGGTAGATCAAGAAAGATTGCAGCCACAACTGCCAGAAGAATTGTTTGCCAGAAGCCTTTACTGCATCAATGACACAAAAAGGCCCAGTTAGGCATTTCAAGGTGTTGTCAGACATATTGTAACTGGACTTTTTTGTGGCATTTGTGCTGTAAAAGTTTTTTTCTGGCACCTCGACCAAACAGCTCATTTTTGTTCAAGTGTCATATTGTGCTCCTTCACACTGTCTTTTTCCAGAGCAGCCTGTATTTTTCTTGTGGTTACCTATGGGTTTTCCTTTGTATCCCAAACAATTCTTGTGGCAGATATGGCTGCAATCTTTCTTGGTCTACCTGACCTTGGCTTGGTATCAAGAGATCCCCGAACTTTCCACTTCTTAATAGGTGATTTAACAGTACTGATTGGTTTATTCAAGGCTTTGGACATTTTTTATGTCCTTGTTATGCAGGACTTTTGACAGTTCTTTTCTGATCCCCATGGCTCAGTATCTAGCCTAGTCAGTGCTTCCACGTAAGAGCTAACAAACTCATTGACTATACACTGACACTAATTGCAATTTAAAAAGCCACAGATGTGGGACATTAACCTCTAATTGGCATTTTAACCCGTGTGTGTCACCTTGTGTGTCTGTACCAAGGCCAAACATTCCAGGGGATGGAAGCTTTTGATCCGGGCCATTTGGGTGATTTCTGTTATCATTATGATTTAAAAAAAAGCCAAACAACTATTTGATAATAAACGGCTTCATATGGTCATCACCCTTCAATAAAAGAGCAATTTCAATATCAATGCCAAAATTTCACAATTTCTGCCAGGGTATGCAAACATTTGAGCACAACTGGAGGTGGCCTTACCCATAGTATCCAGATTCCTAGTTTTAAGTGACAAGTGAAATCTGATTGGTTGTTATGGGCAATAGCTCCAGTTTAGATCAGTCAGACAGGGTATATACTGTACTCACCAAGGTAAACAAAGGAGTGAAGGTCAGTTGCAGGTAACACCAGGTTTGTGATCCAGATGCGTTGTTTCTTCTTTACTTCAGTAGCTTGGGTACTTATGTCTGTATTCTTCTATCTCTTATCGCAGTGCATTTACTCTTCTTCTGGCCATATTTCTTTCATGTTCATGTCTGAACCCTTCAAGAAGTGAAATAATTGCAACCCTTTAGTAAATCTCCACTGTAGCTCTTCGTCACATTGCCATGCTGCTACCAAGTTCTCTCTCGATGTCTACTAGTCTCCTCTCTCTTCTCAGTCTTCGATATTCTGATATACGGCTCTCACCTCTTCCTGCTGTAATGCTCTTTGACTTCCTGTCTTCAAACTGAACTTACAAGAATGACAAATTTGAAAGGTTTTATCTTAGAGAATCTGTAAAGTAAAAAAAAAAAGATGAATCAACAGGTCACCAATACATAAAATGAGAAGGGTTTCTTTTGGATGGACTAGATGATAAAAGTACATCAACTTTTTAGAATTGTGAGGAATTTACCTAATTACTTTCTATGGCTCCCAAAAGTATCTCCTTTTTAGAGACAGTTCTTTGCTCTGCAATGGTCCTGATTTAGGAAGGTTCATGTAGCAGAATAGAGAAAATAAGACAATATATTTATTAAACAGAAATGCTGTATATGAGGTGAGATCATTTAATTCGTGTAACGGACTGGAAATAACCCTATTAAACACCTCTGCATTCTTCAAAAGACTGGATGAAATTCGAAAACGACTTTCTTTCTGATTTTCTGTCAAGATTTGAGGCATTATCTTTGTGGAAATCTTTCTCATTTCCAAGGCCTCCATTAGAATCTGCTGCAATGTTTCCCTGTTCAATTCTTCTGCCATCATTTGCACATTCAGTTTTCAATCTGAGCCTGCGATGTTTTGCATTCTGTCCACATTTGTATTCGTCCTTTGCGGTTTTGGCTGCCCACTTCTTGCGTCATCCTGGATATCTTCCCGCCCCTCTTTAAACTGTCTATGCCACTCAAAAACATTTGATTTCTTCATGGAATGTTCAACATAAGCCTCTTGTAACAGAGCCCAAGTTTCACTCGCACTTTTGCCAATTTTCACGAAAGTTTGATATTAATCTGCTGCTTCAGATTTCTGTAACTCATTTTCAGCCAACAACTCAAAGCACACACCTGTTATTTATTCTACTACTCTGTAAAGACTGAGTCAACTGGTCTGTTCCTGCAGGGGAAAAAATTCCTTCCTGATCCCCCAAGAGAAAATCAGATATTCTCTGGATCAACTTTACCTATAAATGTTAGTATACAGTTATGATATGTGCATTTAGGAAAGAATCAAGGACTTTTTTTAAAGCATTCTACTGAGCTGGCCAGAACCAACATTTGAGGGAGTCTATTCCA